GAAGGCTGCTCCTGCATGCCCGCGTCCCCCGGAGCCCCCGGGCAGCGAGGACCCGGTGGGGACATGCTCACCTTGAGGATCTCCTGGTGGTTTTCGGAGGCGTAGAGCCTGCCGTCCCGCACGATGTCCTCCACCAGCTGCTCATAGTCCTCTGCAACACCCAGCCGAAAAACACGGTCAGGGCATGAGCTGTCACTTGTCCCCAAACCTCTGGTGCCCATCCCCGAGTTGGCTCCCCCCAAAATACACGGGAGGTGAGAACTGGGGGCGACCTGCGTACGGCACTGGGCAGGGGGGCACCGACACGCCGGGATGGCATCCCCGCGCGTCCCGCGCTCACCGTCGTAGGTGACGTAGGGGATCTGGAAGCCCCGGGCGCTGTTGGCTTCGCTGGTTTTGAAGTTGATCCAGAGTTTCCGAGAGCGGGCGGTGAAGGCGATGGGCCTCTCGTAGGTCTGGCACGTCTCGTAGGTGGTGATGGAGGACGGGGAGGCTACGAGGGAACGGCGGGGGCCGCGTGAGGCCGGATGCCCATCAGTGGAGCCACCCCCAGCTTTACCGTGCTGAAATGCTCAGGGTGAAGGGGGGGCATCGGGGATGGGGATTGTCTGTGTCCGGTGAGGCTGAGCCGCCCCCAACCCTCACGTTACATACTGAGGATGTTGTTATTCCCTCCTTGCTCTGGAAAGCTCCAAATGGGGCTTTTTACCCCCAAAAAGAAGTGCTGAGACCCAGGTGTGCAACCCAGCCCACGCTTAGCCCACGCCATCCCCCTGATCCGGCCAGACACCGGGGTGGCAGGGCAATGCCGATCCCCCCGCTCACCCAACTCCCCAAAATCCCCTCCTGCCACCCGGGGACGTGGCTTTCTCCCTTTGCACGAGGCAGTTCTGCCAAACCCCAGCCTTTTCCTCCCCCGGCTTCTCCCGTGAGCACCGCGGCGCGCTCGGTTACCTACAGTTTTTCCGCATGACCAAGACGTCGCCGCACTCATCCTCGGAGGGGAGGAAGATCTCCGGCACCACGATGAGGATCTTGCGCTTGGGCGGCGGGTTGATGTTCCAGGTACACTCGATGTTGGCGGGGTAATTCCCCGGGTAGTTGGGGGATTCGATGTAGCCCGTGTACTCGCCCAGCTCTCCCCCGCACTGGCGGTCTGCAA